GGGGGGGGTTGAAGGGGCAAGAAGAACAAAGAACAAAGAAAATGGTGAAATAACAAATAGTAGTACAATAAAACTTTTCATCATTAAAAAAAAAAAAACAGCTTTATTCCACACACTTTGCAAGAAATGTTTAATCAAACATTACTACTATGACTACTTTACTCTTCAACCTTGAATCACTTTTTCTTTTACTTTACTATAAATAATAATAATAATAATACATAGTAGTGAAATACTACATAATTATAGCATGCAAAATATTAACTATTGCACTTTGGCCAGTCATGCCCATACATACGCTATTGTCTAGTAACTTTCACTATAAACCTTAGACCTGCTAAATATAGATTTTATTATTACCAAAGATATTTCACAATCATGGTAGTTGGCATTAAAATCATCCACTTCATAGTGCAAAGTTTTTTAAAAATAAAATCAAGAAGCTGTCCTAATAATGCTGAATTCTAAAACCAAAATTTTCTCATATTTAAGGGCGGACTTTGGGAGAAAGCTACGGATTCGATTGAATTCAGTACCGTTTTAGCCAAAATCTTGTATTTATATTTGAAAAATTCATTTAATATGTATAAACAATATACTTAGCTAGATTGTCCCTTTTAGAATTTAAAACCAAGAAACTCAAAAGTTGATTCTGCATGTATATATATTTTGTCACTTGCTTAGTGGTATCGTATAAGGGAAAAGAGCCAAATATATTTCTCAGGTTTGTGATTTAGAGTGAATATTACACATCGCTAAAAAAATGGTACATACTTTCATTGTTTTTATAAATGATACATACATTCTCTTGTCGTCTAACAAATGGTGCATACTTACCTTTTTCGTAAAGACACTGAATTATAAAATATAACCTAAAACACATTTTTTTAAATTTAGAATGTCACGTGGCTTTTAAAAAAAATCACCCTAGTCATTTTATTTACACCTCCAGACCCGTCCAAACAAAAAAGAAAATTGGAATCTCTATTATATTTAAATCCGATCCAAATTTATTTTATGACTGATTAGAAGAGGAATTGTATTCTTTTCATTTGAGTCGAGTCTAGGTCTGGTTTGAAGGGATAAAAAGAATGAGTGAGATAATTTTTTAAAAGTCACATGATATTGTTTGAATTAAAGAAAAAACAGATTTAAGCTCTCTTTTTTTAATTCAGTAAATATAGGTCGGTTAACGAAAATGATAAATATGCACAATTTGTTAAACTATGAAGAATAAATGTACTACTTTATCAATGAGTAATATATTCATTTTAAATCACAAAATTAAACAATATATTCACCAATTTTCCCTTTAATTTAATATGCATGTGAAGAGAATATATATTATTTCTATTGGATATCTTTTCGTGTATATATACTATACTATTTTTATTTTCTTGATTTAATCATACTTTTATTTAGAACATAAATATTAAAGCAGGTGAATATTCGAAAACGACAGTCAAATTCTCAACTGTTCCCTTCTTTGACTATTGCTCTAATAATACCTAAATTAGATATTTGTTAGGTTATATGTGACATACATGGAATACCCCATCTAATTAAATGACGTTCTATTTTATCGCGAAGTCAGAAATTTTATTAAGAGCGAAAAATTATAATATCAAATATAAATTAGATATTTATAGATCAAAATTTATTATGTATACATATACGTTAAATTTTAAATATTCTTGTAAAAATCTTGACTTCGACACTAGATATTAGGAACATTATTCATTAGTGAACTTATAATATTGTGAATTTGAATTAATCGGGGCAGTACACTTTAAATTCAGATACTTAAAAGCCAAAAAAAAAAAGAAAAAAAAGAGAGGAGGAAGACAAAGAAATAGTATAAAATAAACAATAAGTAGTTAATTATCAATTAGTTAAAGAAATGAAAGTGAATGTACTATAAACATATAAATAACCCTAGAGACCATCATTTGATTACCTGAAAACAAATCTTTTGTACAGATGAAAAGATCCAAGGCAGACATTAATTAATTTATAAACCATAATTAAATTTAAACTTTGGATAATAATAGAAGATGCTTTGATAAATTAAATGCATGATGTTTGGAGTGGAGGGAACAATATAAATCAAGATTATTTCACTTTTGGTGGCAATATATAATACTTAAACCTTCCACCACTACACTAATTTTTTTTAATTAAATGTAGTAATACATAATTATAGAAATGTAAAAAGCAAAAGGATTCCTCTAGGCACGTCTTAATTAATTAA